GCTCTGATGCGCGGCCAGTGCCGCTGGAGCAGCTCCGTGTCGCGGTTGACCGCCGGCTCGGACGCCGCACATGTTAACACGGGAGGTGATGGTCAGTCCTGATCGGCGCTCTGGAGCGCGACCAGTGCCGCTGGAGCAGCTCCGTGTCGCGGTTGACCGCCGGCTCAGACGCCGCACATGTTAACACGGGAGGTGATGGTCAGTCATTAGCGACGCTCTGATGCATTGATGACGTCATGGATCGGCGCTCTGATGCGTTGATGACGTCATGCTGAGTGTTAAGTAAGACGACTAGAGGCGTACACGGGATTTTTTCTTTCGTTTTTTGCCGTGGAGGAGTGTTGACAGAGCTCGAAGATCTCACGCGCTGAAAACACAGTTTAACACTTGTAAAGCTGTCGGAAATTTGCGGACATCTTCATGCATGTAATAAAGTTGAAAATAGTGAGCGACGGGTCTCCCCATGTGTTGTCATTTATTCGCAGATACATTCATGCATGCAATGCGTTTTAAAAGGGGAGGCGCATCCCACGGGGGCCACTATGTTCAAATGTTGAAAACTCCGAGGGACGGGTGTGTTGGTGGATAGGCGCCGCAAAATATGCTTCATTCGTCGCTTGTACAGGGAAGTAACATGTAATCCAATCTATACGGCGCGTGCGGGAGATGTTCGAGGCACTCACACTGCTACCCGTGTACACATGTGAATAGCATCAAGGGCTTCAAGCGAAATTTTGTTTGCGCCCGCATGTGCTGCGGAGTCTCCGTCTAGAATGAGTGGAACAGGGGATTGAAGCTGACTTTCAATGCGACGACCAGCGCTGCAATCCGAACCAGCGATGCGTCAAAGCAGAATCAATCTTCGGAGACGTTTGGGACGGATGCGTTCAGCGTGTTTTTGCCTCGATGATCTGAAGCTCAGAAAAACATTAAGGGATTTGCAGGACCAGGCGAAAGGAATATTGCAGTGATCGAGACCGAAATGGAAGGAGACGACCCGGAGGCGTGCGTCTGCAGCCGACTAAAGCCGTCGCCGAGTTTTGAGAACAAATTTAAGACAGCGATGAGATCAGGTCCCTCTCTTCCCCGTTTGAAGCGTCTCTCAGACGTGACATTCAGTGGTCGTGTTCGACGGTAAAGCACCAAATGACGTTGCCATCAGCGAATAATAAGAACGAGCTGGCGGTGAGAGGGTGTCAAAATGTTCGTCGATAATGAATGGGATAAAACGGGAGAGACGGCTCCTTCGGAGACATTAGGCCTTACGTTTTTTTGATAGCAGAAACCATTGGTATGCGTTTAACGGGAAAAGATGACGCGGCTAAGAGCCGATAGCGCCTTGCGTAAGGTGACCTTTGAACCCAACATTGTAAAGTGCGAATATGAGTTGTGGGTTCACAGGTCATGCCGTACGCTCAGCTGACGCCCAAGGTCGCTGCCGTAGCGTGATAAGAGAGGCTGAAGGTCGACGGGTGTCAGTCTCGGACATCGTGACGTAATTGATAGTGTCACGATTTCAACGGAAACTACTGTGGTTTTGTGATGAAGGTCATTTGTGATGTCATGCCGTTGACAGACGCCTGGCAGGCACACCCTCTTAAAGTTTATCCAAACAGCTTGTAAGGGCGGTGGGGCGGCGGCTGCCAGGGCTTTGTGTGTGTTTCCCCGCTTTGGAGAGGGGAGCCATGACAGTCTGCCGCCATGAAACCAAAAAGAAATACGGGTCGACCATAGTTTATTAAGAGCCTTTAAGATAGAGTTATTTGTACATTTAGGCAAGAGATGAAAGAAGAGCAGTGCTTCTGGTGCCGGCCCAGTAAGGTATCACCGGCAGAACGAACCGACTGCCGCAGAGTGGGGGCTGAGATATGCACCCTTTGGGAAACAGCGCCTCATTGTCTATAGTCCACACCCGGCTGTATGCATTAAAATCACCGGGGACTATGTACAAATGTAACTGTGAATTGAGAGGATCGAAATGGCTGTGAGCTTGTCTGTACCAGTGTCAATATATGTATCGGGCACTCACCATGTCCCATCCCCCGTCCGACGGGGCGCAAAGAATATATCACAGCTCGTATAGTGGTATTTAAGCGATGGCGTGTGCTTGAGGTCATCGCAGACAAAATATAGTTTCGTCGTGGCTGCGGTCACCTCCCGCGTAGTCAGGACGATAAAGCAGTTCCGTGTGTTAGAATTTAGGGTCGCGAGGAAGAAGCCGAGCCTCCTGCACTGCGATGTTTATCAGAGCTAGAACACAAACACCGAGCGCCCGTCACCTTCTGCGTTACGTCTCTCCATCCCGGGAGGCGTGGGTGCGAAGCTGGCGCGAGAACGAGCCCAAAAGAACAAACAATAAATGGCGCTGAGTAACGGAGGAAATGGACGACCTTGGCGGTCCCTGGCTTCTTGGCTGGACCCGGCCGTAACAGGCGGCAGGCCCCGGCCAGAAACACGCAGAAAGGTCATCTTACACGTAAGAGGGGGCGATAGCGGGAGGTAGAGCACGCCGGGGATCAAGGTCAGGCTCATCTGCCGCTGCGCCGATAGGGCTGGACACCAAAAGGCTAGGCTCAGGCGGCTGTGCAACACTAAGTAAAACTCATCAAAATGTACAGTTTGCGGTGTAGACACCTGTCGACTGAATCTTTGGATGTAATTCGTCAGGTACAATTTATATCAAGTAGAAGAAGCAGCATTCTTAACGGCTTTTGGTGTTTTTGGCAGAAACAGTGATGCATGCGGAGGACTTTCTTCACCTGTTGCCGCTTTCCCAAACGTAAAGCCGACAGCTCTGACGGCTGTGGCTTACTGTTTTACGGCTCTACAAAGAGCCCGCCCGTTCCGGTCCGTTGGGTAGGCCGAAAGTAAAATGGCCTCAGGGCTAAAAAAAAAAGTGCATCTCAGGTGGTTCGTTCGCGATGTAGCTAATAATTTTACCTGGTATGTGCTCTGAAACTAAAGCCTACACAACAGTTTGGAATAGCCATGTGTGACAGCCCAGAAGAATTCAGCGAACACCTGGTCGTCGGGTGCGGCTGCTGAACTCAACATTGGATCTGCGCGCTGTATTGACTCGGAATCATTCCTTGAAGTAGTTCTTGTATTTTGGTCGAGATTCTCATGATTCATTCATCCAGACAACATTGTGTATCTTTTGTATTTATTGAGACCAGTCCACGGGCAGTACAACGCTTCTCGTCTCCCCTGTTGACGATCCCTCCCACAGAGTATATTTCAGTGACGGTCAAAGCGCACGACCGCCTGTACCGTCGTCCCGGCTGGGCAGTTGGCCGGGATCTCCGGCAGGCCCTCCAGATTATACCGGGTTCACCAGTGGCTCTGTCATGCCCTCACCCGGCTCGGCAGGGGCTCCCCACCGCGGCGCCACACCCTTCAGAGTCTCAATCGCGTGCGCAGGGCCTCTCAGAGTTCGGAGGCTGCGTTTGACTTATCGAGCACTCAATTACACCCTCTCTGATTGGGTTCCTCGGCCTCTCCATCTGCGACGAATCACCCCGATGCCGTCGGAGGCTCCGTCGCGCCTGCACTGATTTCCTCAGGCGATGTTCCGAGGTGGCACCTGTTGACTGGAGGCTTCGTCGCCGTCCCGCGAGTCTCTCAGGGGATCCACCGTGTTTGCACCTATCCCGATGGCGGTGGACGCGCGGTGGCGGGGTGACGGCCGCCCGGCCGCCATCCGTCCGCGCTGTCGGGCCGGGCCGCTCGTGAGCAGCCTCGCTCCAGCGGCCGAGCCTCCCAGGCGGCCGCGGGCCCCGCCGCCGCGGTCAGCCGCTCTTTGGCAGGCCGAGCGGCAGCCGCGCTCCTAGCAGCCACACCGGCAGCAGCGGCAGCTGCCGCCGCTGCAGCAGTCTCCGCGGGAGCAGCACTTGCCGTCCTTGCAGCAGCAGCCTCCCTTCTTGGAAGAGCACTTGCAGTCGGTGCATGTGCAGCGACCACCCTCCTGGCAGGAGCAGCTTCTTCCGCTAGAGCAGTCGCACCTGCAGCAGTTGCAGTCTCCGTTGTTGCAGCAGTCTCCGCGAGAGCAGCACTTGCCGTCCTTGCAGCAGCAGTCTTCCTTCTTGGAGGAGCACTTGCAGTCGCACCTGCTGCAGTCACAGTCTCCGTTGTTGCAGCAGTTTCCGCGAGAGCAGCACTTGCCGTCCTTGCAGCAGCAGTCTTCCTTCTTGGAGGAGCACTTGCAGTCGCACCTGCTGCAGTCACAGTCTCCGTTGTTGCAGCAGTTTCCGCGAGAGCAGCACTTGCCGTCCTTGCAGCAGCAGTCTTCCTTCTTGGAGGAGCACTTGCAGTCGCACCTGCTGCAGTCACAGTCTCCGTTGTTGCAGCAGTTTCCGCGAGAGCAGCACTTGCCGTCCTTGCAGCAGCAGTCTTCCTTCTTGGAGGAGCACTTGCAGTCGCACCTGCTGCAGTCACAGTCTCCGTTGTTGCAGCAGTTTCCGCGAGAGCAGCACTTGCCGTCCTTGCAGCAGCAGTCTTCCTTCTTGGAGGAGCACTTGCAGTCGCACCTGCAGCAGTTGCAGTCTCCGTTGTTGCAGCAGTTTCCGCGAGAGCAGCACTTGCCGTCCTTGCAGCAGCAGTCTTCCTTCTTGGAGGAGCACTTGCAGTCGCACCTGCTGCAGTCACAGTCTCCGTTGTTGCAGCAGTTTCCGCGAGAGCAGCACTTGCCGTCCTTGCAGCAGCAGTCTTCCTTCTTGGAGGAGCACTTGCAGTCGCACCTGCAGCAGCTGCAGTCTCCGTTGTTGCAGCAGTTTCCGCGAGAGCAGCACTTGCCGTCCTTGCAGCAGCAGTCTTCCTTCTTGGAAGAGCACTTGCAGTCGGTGCATGTGCAGCGACCACCCTCCTGGCAGGAGCAGCTTCTTCCGCTAGAGCAGTCGCACCTGCAGCAGTTGCAGTCTCCGTTGTTGCAGCAGTTTCCGCGAGAGCAGCACTTGCCGTCCTTGCAGCAGCAGTCTTCCTTCTTGGAGGAGCACTTGCAGTCGCACCTGCTGCAGTTACAGTCTCCGTTGTTGCAGCAGTTTCCGCGAGAGCAGCACTTGCCGTCCTTGCAGCAGCAGTCTTCCTTCTTGGAGGAGCAATTGCAGTCGCACCTGCAGCAGTTGCAGTCTCCGTTGTTGCAGCAGTTTCCGCGAGAGCAGCACTTGCCGTCCCTTGCAGCAGCAGTCTTCCTTCTTGGAGGAGCACTTGCAATCGCACCTGCTGCAGTTGCAGTCTCCGTTGTTGCAGCAGTTTCCGCGAGAGCAGCAGGTCCCCTCCTTGCAGCAGTTGTCTCCCTTGTTGTTGCAGTTGCAGTTGCGGCATTTACAACGGCCATCCCTGCAGCAGTCTCCACTGGCGCAGCAGGTCCCCTCCTTGCAGCAGTTGTCTCCCTTGTTGTTGCAGTTGCAGTTGCGGCATTTGCAACGGCCATCCCTGCAGCAGTCTCCACTGGCGCAGCAGGTTCCCTCCTTGCAGCAGTTGTCTCCCTTGTTGTTGCAGTTGCAGTTGCGGCATTTGCAACGGCCATCCCTGCAGCAGTCTCCACTGGCGCAGCAGGCTCCCTCCTTGCAGCAGTTGTCTCCCTTGTTGTTGCAGTTGCGGCAGTTGCAACGACCATCCTTGCAGCAGTCTCCACGAGGACAGCAGGTTCCCTCCCTGCAGCAGTTGCCTACCCTGCTGCCGCAGGCTTCTCCAGCCTTGCAGCATTCCTGATCTGGAACGGAAGAGGTGGATGAGTGGGGCGCTCGTCGGGTGCACGCGGGCCGCCGGCTACCCGGCTTCTGTTTGTTATAAGTTCAGGACAGTGCCATGGTACTCTCGCGAAATGTATTACTTTGCGAAGAAACGTTCCGGCGGAGGTTGTGGTTTCTGGGGTTATAAGTTTCCAGATTTAAATATGTTTCTGGAAGAGAATGGGACCGCCAAAAGGTTTTCTATTCTTGTTTGCTTGGTTTAGAACACTTTTCTTGGCAGACCTTCGTGGACAAAGGTGCTTTCATATTTGGGAACACCATAATTAGTGTTCGTTCATTATAAGGACCTGCTTTCCCATAAATGTATGCATTAAAGACAAAGCTTTGCATAATTATTGCACCTTGAGAGCGAGTGTCTGTGAAAATGCAAAAGAGAAATGTTGTATAAATCAGATGGAGGCGGAGGGACCTCATGTTGGACCTCATGAAAATAGGAGGTAACCGCGTGCAGCGAAACAACATTGCACTCGGCAAGACCTTGTGAACATGGGTGCCACTTGCAGTAAACTAAGGGAGTCCAATCACCAAATGTTCTGTGACTTTACAAAAACGCCCTCACCAAGACTGAGCTGAGATTCATATCTTTGAGCTGCCGCCGTATGGCAGGTCAACGCAAAAGGCGAGATGTAATTAAATTACGCGAAGAATGGTAGACTGATCATGTTATCAGTTCTTAAAAAGTAGCCACATAGCTCGATGCAACATTCCGCATTTTTGTACACATTCGTGTGACAAAAGCTAGTGTTCCCATAAAAGCGTCAAGCCGCCCAAGAACATCGATTTTGTTCAAGATTTTCGGCAACCCTGCTTCACTCAGCCTGCCTGGATTGGGACCAAACATCAGGCAATGCACGGATAACGTGATTGAGCAGTATGTTCGTTGTGTTGCATACCGATTTTACTCACACACAATTCACAATAGACGTAGATCCGTTATGCGTAACTTTGTTGATCATGATTCGAGGTGAAGTCGTTAAATAATGAAATCAAAAAGCGGGACGTGGTAAAGAACAAGGAGAGGTAATAATTACGGAAGCGAACGACTTACACAATAGCTGGTAAGCCACGGAATCAAACATAACGTTTTTTCTAATTGCAAACGCTCAGGGCTTATAAGAAGAGCTAAGGGAGGCGAAAGATGACGAGTTAAGAACTAAATCCAAAGCAGCATAGCGCGTCTAAGGCGAGGTGGACACACTTTGTTCCAGGTGTAGAAAACAAACGAGACAAAAAAATACATCGGTCGTTGCTGCTGGTCAACTGAATTTTGACAACAAGAGAACAAATTCTGCACCAATTTTCATGTGATTTAACACCAAACTGTCGCGACAGAAGCTATGACATAAGTATATATATATATATATATATATATATATATATATATATGTATGTATATATGTGTGTGTGTGTGTGTATCTATATATGTAAATATCATACATAACAGGAAAGTACTAACGAGAAAAGTTTCAGAAGCTCATATAACCTATGGCCTTCATCTTGCGCCGCAGCAATAAAAAGGAGTGAATTACCAGGATCAAATGACTTTCTTCCGACCCTTGCAAGTTTTTTTCTGATTGGGTTAGTGAGCAGAGCACAGCAGTAGGTATTCTGCCAAATTCACATAATGAAAACATGGCTACTCGTATTGCCGAACCAGGTACGTCGTCAAACGAATTAAAATGTTGGAGACCGACGCTTTTAGTAAACGTGGACTTGAACTCATTTATTCGGCCATTACAAATGACTCGAAAACGTTATTACCGACGTACACAAGTTGTAAGCCCCCAAACCTGGCTCAGCCAACTACACCTGGCGCGGCACCATCCTGCCCAGCCGTCAGTCTCGGCTAACTACACCTGGCGCGGCACCATCCTGCCCAGCCGTCAGTCTCGGCTAACTACTACACCTGGCGCGGCACCATCCTGCCCAGCCGTCAGTGTTTAAAAGCGGCACGGGGTGCCCGCTGTCTGTCATGCATCACAGCTTATGTCAGACTAAGATTCAGATATGTATAGCGTGATATAGCAAATACGGTGCTACAATTGATGCTCGAGCAAAATGTCAGCTGGTTGCAGCCGCGGCAGTTGCAGGCCTACAAATAGCCATAGGTGAGGAGGTCCGTTACTCCGTCATTTCCTGACGTAACGTGGCTATCTGTTGACGTAACGGACTCGTTACTTTTCTGAAATTACCTGTGCCTGAAGTCACCGTAAAAATATCGGAACGCATTTTCATCTTAAGACATCTCTTCAAATTAGCTCAACCAGCATACACCACTTGTCTCTTATTTTATGAGATGTCAAAATATTACCTAATACTGTATAAAAGAAAGACTGAAAAGGTGCAAGTAATGACAAACCAACCAAACATGGAGCAATAAAGTGGTTCATGTTGCTCACCGTGGAAAAGAGGTGATGTTTTTATTAGACCGAATTATTCAGATTTAAAAATGGGTTAACAATGTCATGTACGTGTATATCAATCTCTACATGGCTCGTATTCCGCAGAACTTGGCGCTGAAGTCTATAACAAGTGCATTTATTTGAAGCCATCGCTCATAGTCCATCTCGCACCGACAACGCGACCTGCCTCGTAATTAGACCGCTCAGCGAGACGGCCAACATTAGCGAAGAAAATCTCCAAAATAAATGTTGCCTGTTCGGTATACGCTAATGCGCCGATTTCCAAGCGAACGCTAGCGGTACACCGAGAACACCGCGGAATGATTAAGGGGCGCGAAGAATGGTGAACGATGCAGGCAGCCGTTTACGCACATGGTGCGCCGATGCTTACCTTGAGTGCACCCGGGTCGAGACATGTCGGCTGGCTGTGCGGTGGTGGTGACTTCCTCGTCAGCTGCGACCGCCACGGATAGTATGCCAGAGGTCCGGGGCAGGCCTGCCTATATACTCATGTCCTTAGATAGCGTGCCGGGCGCAGCGGCGCGTCCAGCTTATCGCTGTTTGTGCCGGGTGCCACCGCGCCGGCCGTGTGCCGAGTGCAAAACGGCGCCCGGCGTCCGGCAAGCGCCGGCCGTGTGTCGGGTGCAAAACTTTGCCCGTCGTCCGGCAAGCAGGGAGCTAGAATTGCTTTTGAACTAGCGTGGGAGTGAAAAATTCCATCGCAAAAAGACCGTGCAGGAGTGAAAAAATTAATTCACAAAATATGGAACTTATGAGTTCGTGACTGAGGCTTCAGCAAACAAAGACATCTATTTCAAGTTGACATGGACGTAATATCATAAACCTGACAGAACTTTTTGGTTTTTAGCATCTTAAGCCGTCAAAGTGAAACAGAACACATAAAAGCAGAGTAATTTCATGACAGTGTAATTAATATAAACAATTATTAACACCAATAATTTGATGCCGGACTTTGCACTTCCCTTCCACAGCGCTTTAACACGAAACAAAGCAAAGGAATTCAATAACAAAATAGCAGGAAATTCAACAAGCATAAAACACTCAAAGAAAAAAAATTGGACTCGTACACATCAGCCCATCACCAAGTCAAACACAATAGGCATACCTCTGGCTTTTATTAACATGGTGTCAGGGAGAACAAACATTTTGTCACTGTTTCTTACAAAATACCAATGCTTATTTCCATGAAAGTAGCCTATGCCTAACCTACAGAGGCCTTACATCATCTCATCCTGTATACCCTGTTTGCATCACAGCAGCAGTTGTGAGTTACTGATTCTTGCACAATTCCTATTGCCACTTGCCATGGACTCCATCAACTTAACCTAACTTAGAGTAGCCCTTGTGATGAACAACATCTCAACTCGCCTATCTGTTGACAGCAGAACTTTGATAAAAACAGGATACCTAAGGCTAGTTTTTGGCTGGTTTCAGCTTGCATTTTTATTCAGTTAATTTATGTATGCTTGTTGACATCAGACAAAGTTAAGAACACACAAATAAAAACACTTTAAATCACTTCGAACAACTTATTTTGATTGTTATGGTTAACCTATGTCAAGGGCAATGATGGGTATGCTCCACAAAACAGTCTGTCTTCTCCAAAAGTAACATAACTTTTAGATGACCATGCCAGTATTGCTGCTTGCCTTTTCAGCTGCAGCAAATGCATCCATTTGGGCTTTTTTATTCATATTTAATGACAAAGTTTGAGATGTTGGCTTTACATTTCCAATGGGATGGTCTGACTATTTATTACATCCTAGTATTTAACTCATATTATAATTGCTATGCAGCTTAGAGTATCCCTGTGTTAAAAACATAGTGCATATATACAGTAGTCATTTGCTGGTCAGCAAAACATGACAACTATAGAAAGCATCTGGTTAAAGCAGCCATGAGCGACCACTTCAATAAATTTGGGGCAAATAACCAATAATGTGGAACAAAATGAGCCCATCGCATGCCTTGTGGCATCATAATTTGTCTTATGACAAAACTCGATTGATTGAAACAGAAAATGGCTGACTCTGGCTACCAATCATGTGTTGAAAGCAGGCAAGGTAAGCAATTATTTGGTTCACAGGAGGCTTATTGGCGTCTTCCTGCCCCTCCCCCCCCCCCTCCCTCAAGACAAAAAGTCAGTACCTCTTGCATGGTCTGTTGGCAGACAGAGTCATCCCACTCACCCCCCAAGTATAAATATCAATCATGCCCACCAACCTACGAGATTAAAATGCGAAACAACTAACAGGTGTGTATGATGAACATCTCCAGAAGGCAGAAATTCGCCACCCAACACTTCTGTATTAGCTGCGTCAGGTCTGTCCCAAAGCTCTGTATGGCGCATTACGATGGCCTTGTCAGGTAGCCTGGTGAGTTAGACACTGGAAAGGCTTAAATTTTTCATTATTGAGCGCCGCCATGAACCAAGAAAACGGTTAAACGGGGGATTGACAAGGCAGAAATGGCGGTAAAAATAAGTTTCGTGTTTCAAATTGTCTTCTTCGTTGCCTGTGAATTGTTCACGCTTGGGTGCACATCAAGCATGTTTGGGCGGCTGGCAAATTAATCTAATTTATGTATGAAATACGTACAAGTTTGCAGTTGGAGCATCGTGCAGAGAAATTGGTCAACATTTTAGGCAACAGATGGTACCTCTTACGGCAATCCAAAAGAAGGGAAGAATAGAGTGGTATCACACTCGTATGATACCAAGAAAAATAAAAGTAGTTAAATCAATATAATGACTGATACTTTTCTGGCAAAATTTTGTAGTCAGCTGGTTCGACTTAAAATCTGTTAAAATAGGTGGTCAAATAGTGATATTCAACTTGTAAATTTAATTTGGAAGATATTTCTTAAATCCTTCACTCCTGCATTTCGGGAGTGGTGCAATTTAGCGGTTAAGTTTCCTCGGGGGAAAAGAAATACGTGGAGTAAAATTCTCTACCAGGCCTTGCTGGTGTTTGCACCAGGCTCTGCTTTCGTGGTGCGGTGGTGAGACGAAACAATAGGGGATGCGTGAAAACCTTGCATTTCGCACGCAGCTGCCGATTGTAATGCATTTTGTAAACAAACCAAACTTACTGCGTGCAAGCGGCTGGAGTCACTGGAGTTCTTGGGCTTGGAGGTACCTGGCGCCCTTGCTCTGTGCATACATAGACATGATTCAGATGTATGTGAGGCAGGACATAGCCATGTGTCCAGGTTCTGTGGAGCCTCGTTTATGCTTGGTGGTTTCAAGTGAGCCCGGTTTTGGATGACATCCGAAAACCTCAGAAAGGGAAATAAGGGTTTGGCATGTGCAATTAGACAATGTCGGGCGGGAGTGAAAAATTCACATAAAATATGGGGAAAAGGAGTGAAAAAATCCTCCTCATAAAGTGTTGCGTTGCACCCAAATTCGGCAATTCTAGGACACTGCCAGCAAGCGTCGGCCGTGTGTCGGGTGCAAAACTGCGCCCGGCTTCCAGTCAGCGCCGGCCGTGTGTCGGGTGCAAAACTGCGCCCGTCGTCCGGCAAGCGCCGGGCCGTGTGTCGGGTGCAAAACTGCGCCCGGCGTCCGGCAAGCGCCGGCCGTGTGTCGGGTGCAAAACTGCTCCCAGCGTTCGGTCAGCGCCAGAAAGCGATGCTTTCCTTAAATTAATGGTAGAGCCATACTGCACCTTAGACCGGCCGAGAGCTGGAGGGATCTGCTCGGTGTGTCCACATGTTCCAGCTATTGATTCATTAAATACGAACCTGCAGCAGCCTGTCGGAAAATCCCGCCACCAAACCCAGACGCTGCGTCAGTGCGGACGGCACTGACGCTGCGCCGCCCGCCGCTACCGCGTAAGAGAGCTCCGGCATCGTTAGTATGTGCCGTGTGCAAAATGTGGGGAGAACCGCGACCGCGGCCGGAATTGCGACCGCTTTGGGCTCGTGAGTTGTGCCGGGTGCAAAACTACGCTCGCCGCCCGCCGCGTGTGCCGGGCGCAAAGTCGAGAACCCTCTCGGCCGCGATAATACGTCGGTGTAACACCGCGGTGTCGTGTGCACTCGTGCGGCCGGGCGCCGTGCGGACTTCGCCGCGTGTCGTGGGCAAGGCGGGAACGCTGGAGAAGGAAGCCACGCCTGATCCTGCTTATGTCGCGCGGTTGGGGTTGGCTGGCTTTGACCGCCCGCCACGACTCTGACCAGGGATGGGCGGCGAGTCTGGAGGGAGCGGCCTTCTGGAAAGCGTACCGTGGTCGAATCAGGCTAATTTGACGCCTTTTTGATGCTGCATTCGACGTGCTTGGTGACCCGGCATGACAAATCTGTCGATAGTCTGTCGGTCACGGTTGTATGCGTTTTGAAAGTTGTTTGGATGGCCTTGTGGGGTCGGTACCCGTAATTGAAAGCTTCTCAGCCCGTCTGGCAGCTTCTGCCCAATGCCTTAAACCATACACGCTAGCCACGGCATTGGCAGACTGCGCCGTGTATGTGTGTAAACCAAAGTCGGATTCGCATATTTCCACGGGTTGTCGATTTGTATTCTTTTGTGAGGGTTCTGCCCCCCCCCCCCCATGTTGAGTTCCCCCTAATTTCGGCTTGTCCCCCTCCCCCCCAATGCTTTTGGCTGGAATGCTACAAAAAACGTGGGTAAAGAATGGCCATAACACAAAGACTATCTTCTTTGATCTTTCTGCGTAGTGGCGTCCCGTACCAGTCTCACAACAAAAAGTCGTGACTGCCCTCATCACAAGATAAAAATCGTGACAGCTGAGCGGATAAACGATACAAGAAACTTCACATACCTAGCGCTATAAGGCACGCAATTGTTTGTGAGGTTCAAGCGAAAGGCTCTGGAATAACCCAAGTGCTTCATGGCTAACCCCGTCCCCGTCCTCCACAGCCAAAATGCGTGCCGCCTCCCATGACCGCCATAGAAGAGCGCCATCGGCGTTCTAAGGTGGCCATAAGGTGGCGCCTTCACGTGCCGATCAGAAGAGACGCGTGCGCCTAGCGGCCTGTTCCCTGGATCCAACCCTGTATGGCTTCTACACGGCTTAGATTAAAGTCCTTCATAAATTATACAAATAATGAAAACATATATTGCGTTTAATCAAATAAAGTGGGCTAATTCGGTGAGAAAAATGGAGAGGGTAGGTTTGTCGGGCCTTGGGTTCGGCTCCCCCCCCCCCCCAATAATTCACAAAAATTGACACCCCCGCATGTTTCCGTCAGTTTCCACGACGTAAGACTAATGTCTGAGGTTGAGTGGACTGTGTCCGATATGCACGTCTGAAACGTGAGCCTCGCAACCATTACCGTTGTATCTGTGCCTTGGCAAACAGGAGTGTTTGTGACGCTGGGCTTGTGGCGCAGATCGGCGGAGTCCGTGGTGCCGGGAGCTAGAATCGCTGTTGAACTAGGCTGGGAGTGAAAAATGTCATCGCAAAAAGACCGTGCGGGAGTGAAAAAATCAATTCATAAAAGATGGAGCTTATGAGCTCGTGACTGACGCTTCAGCAAACAAAGACATCTATGTCAAGTTGGCATGGATGTAATATCAGGAACCTGACAAAACTATTTCGTTTTTTAGGCCATTAAAATGAAACAGAATACATTAACACGCGCTCGGGTGGGGGTGGGGGGCAATTTGACCCCCCCCCCGAGGGCCTTTCCCGAATGGTTTCTGAACGGCGCGGCGTAGTTGCGCCAAATGTTGCATAGCTGTAGAAAATTGCATAGCGGATCGTTTGACATACAAATTTGAGATGTACCTTGTAAGGTCGCTTACCTATGACAGGTCAAAGTCAGCCCATGGTTTCAGCGAAGGCAATTTCTAGGGAATCGTTCAATCTGATACAAACAACGGGGTGTTTGACAAAGACATACATCTCTGAGATGCTTTCTAAGACACCACACTATTGAATGAGCAAATTACGTTGACCTAGGGTCAGGTATGGTGGTCAGACCAAGGTAAAAGCCAACCTGATTTATTAGTCTAAGGCTTACTGTATGGAATAGTTTCTGGTGCTCATTTCGAATTTATTGACAGCAGGAACCGTATCATACATCTTCAGTTGACTTCTTTGAGGTCAGAACAGGCCATTGACCTAAGATGACCCGGGTCGAACGTTTTGTTTTAGGAACACACTGCCTAGCGCAATCTTTGTCGCTTATCCAAGTGCAAAACGCAGAGCAGTCTTGTATCATTTTGGTCACCATGACCTTCAAAGGGTCAAACAAGGTCAGTGACCTCAAATGGGCTCGTGAACTTTTGCTTAGAGACAGTTGCTCAGGTTCGGGGGGGCGATTTGGAGACCAACCTGGAATTTGACCTTGTTTGACCTTATTTGACCGGAAGGTTATGACCCAGGAAGCTGAAACCTTAATCTAAGTGAGTTCACGTATAGGCCAAGACACCCTGTAAATTTGGTGTATCTAGCTTTGTTAGTTCCCGAGATCTCAGAGGGGGGGTGGTCAAATTGACCCGACCCGAGCGAAGGATATCTAGCCGGCCAGCCAGGCGCGTGTTAAAACACGGTAATTTCATGACAATATTATGAGCATAACAAATGATTAACACCAATAATTTGATGCTGCACTTTTCAATTCCCTTCCACGGCACTTTTAAAACAAAACAAAGCAAAGGAATTAAATAACAAAATAACAACAAAATGTAACAAGCATAAGACACTCAAACAAAAAAACCTTGGAATCCTACACATCAGCCCATCACCAAGCCAAACACAATAGACATACTTCTGGCTTCTGTTAAGATGGGGTCAGGGAAAACAAACATTTTGTCACTGTTTCTTCCAAAATACCAGTGCTTATTTTCATGAAAGTAGCCTACGCCTAACCTAAAGAGGCCTTACATCATCTCATCCTGTATTACCTGTTTGTATCACAGCAGCAGTTGTGAGCTACTGATTCTTCCACAATTCCTATTGCCATTTGCCATGCACTTCTTCTGCGAATTGTCCTCTCCTGCGAATTGAAGTCTCATCCATTCCCTGCGAATTGTTCACGCTTGGGTGCATATCAAACATGTTTGGGCGGCTGGCGAATTAATCAAATTTATGTATGAAATACGTACAAGTTTGCAGTTGGAGCATCTTGCAGAGAAATTGGTCAAAATTTTAGGTGACAGAGGGTACCTCTGAAGATAATCGAAAAGGAAGAAAGAATAAAGTAGTATCACATTGGTTTGATGCCAAGAAAAACAAAAGTAGCTGAATAAATGTAAAGACTGGTACTTTTCTCGCAAAATTCTGTAATCAGCTGATTTCACTTAAAATCTGTTAATGTAAGTGCTCAAATGGTGATATTCATCTTGTAAGTTTAAATTACAAGGTATTTCTTGAACTTTTCACTCATGCATTTCGGGAGGGATGCAATTTGGTGGTCAAGTTTCCCCGGGAAAAAAGAAATACGTAGAATAAAATTATGTACCAGGCCTTGCTGGTGTTTGCACCAGGCTCTGCTTTCGTGGCGTGGTGGTGAGACCAAAAAAATAGGGGATGCGTGAAAACCTTGCGTTTGGCACACAGCTGCAGATTTTGATGCATTTTGTAAACAAACCAAACTGAATGCGTGCAAGCGGCTGGGGTTGCTGGGGTTCTTGGGCTTGGAGGTACCTGGCGCCCTTGCTCTGTGCATACATAGACATGATTCAGATGTAGGTGCGTTAGGGCATAGCCATAGGTGTCCAGGTTCTGCGGAGCCTCGTTTATGCTCGGTGCTTTCCAGTGAGATCGGTTTTGGATGACATCTGAACACCTCAGAAACGGAAATAGGGGTTTGGCATGTGCGATTAGAAAGCGTCAGGCGGGAGTGAAAAATTCACATAAAATATGGGGAAAAGGAGTGAAAAATTCCTCCCCATAGGGTGTTGCTTTACACCCAAAGTCGGCAAGTATAGGACACTGCCCTGATGTCGGTATAAAGCCTGCTTATTGATGGTATAGTGCGGCTGCTGCCATGTGCTTGCCACGGACATGGCAAAGACGACGCTGGTTTCTCCGCCGTGCCTACCGGCCCGTTCAGCTCCGGCTGGTGGGCATGGCACACGCCGCTGCTCTGATCACGCTGCAGGTGCACGGAGGTACCGCGTACGGCGCGCTCTCGGCACGGGCATCCCCACGCGCGTAATTTTATGCATATCTGATGCGGCTATGCGACTTGACAGTGATTGGTGAGATTAAGTGTGAGATTTCTGAGGATGCGGTTGCGAGCTTGGCATCGTGTGGACTATCACGGAAAGCCTGCGTGTGCAGTAGCGGCTCGTGATTATCACGGAAAGACCTGCAGCAGCGGCTCGTGATAATCACGGAAAGCCTGCGTGCAGCAGCGGCTCACCACACCAGCGACAGCAACATTCAGGACGTCATTGCGTGCCGTCAAACACGACCGCCAGACGCCGAACGGAAAATTACTCCGGCGTGCTGTGAGGGTGCACCCGATCTGCACGCTCCTAGAGAAGCCCCATCGGCCCACTCCGGCGGCGCGGATTAAGGAGTGTGTCAACAGTCTGTGGCGTCTGCCACGAGCAGCCGTGACGGGCGCAACTGATAGTCGTGCCGTGTGGTGTCGTGTGCAGCCGGTCGCGCCGCAAACATCGATAGTCAGTGGAACAGGGGTCGGGTCCAGTGCGAGAACCCGGCGGGGAGAGGAGAGAGGGGGGACGGGGGAGAGGCGCCGGCGGACGGGAGGTGCGGGTGGACGGACAGGCAGAGCGGCGGGAAGTGATGGCGTCGTGCTTCGGAATTTCGGGCTTCGCCCCGACCCTGTTCCGTGCCTGTCGGTCTCGGTCTGGGACAGGGGTGAGCAGGCCACGGTGGATATGCAGGAAGTGTGGCAGTGCGTACTGTTTGTCAGCATGTGGGCACAGAAATGTTATCATTTTGGTCCGGACGGTACAAGTATCATCCAGGTCATCCAAGGAGCACGCGTGAGTTAGGTGTCTCGCGGTGTTGTTGGGTTCTTAAAGGTTTTAGCTCCCCCACATCTGTGCCACCGAAGTTGCATTATCAGATTACACTGGGACAAACTTCAGCGACACAGGTTATGAAAACATTCCGTACTTATTCATGGTTTGGGCCGTTGAAGGATAACGCAGATATTTAGTTGGATGGGACAGCTATAATTGTAACGGTGAAGCCTGATTTTGCACTGATTGACAATCGTCGTCACGTATCATGTCTGAGGATCATATTGCAGGTAATGAGGTGGGACCATCTTTTGCCGACGGTATTGATCTGATGCATTCGGTTTGTCCGTCGTTTTAACGAAATTACGCGCTGGTTTCTTGTGAAACATGAGCGTACTGGGTCATGTGCTTCCAGACTGGTGGGCTCGAGTCTCCCCAACGGCGCTCGCACTTTTCAAACCTTTGGGAGAGTTCTGGTCGTAAGCAGCCATAGGATAGTTTTGGCGGCACTTTATGTATATATATATATATATATATATATATATATATATATATATATGAAGTGATATCGCACCACTATCCGTTTACAGCTATCAGCTGTTGACCACAACGTAGATTCGCGGAACCACGTCCATAACTGAAAACCCGTCAAAACAAGAGAGCCCAGACCTGTGCCACTTGCAACGCCCCATGGAAATTCTGCTGAAGCGGGCGACAGTAAGCCGTTTGCGTTGGGGATTCGCAAGAGTGCAGTGGAGGTCATCTGACGACTTTGCGACAATTGAACCGATCAGTAAATGCCATAAAGGGCAAGCCATGAATACCATGAAGCAAGAAGATAGGAAATTGTTGTTTTACGTGAGTGAGTCAGCCCCTGTGTTGCGTTTAAGTGGGGGCGTATGTACGCGCATTCCCCCAAGTACACCTCAGGGTGAAATATTTCGGTCATGGACTTTTCCCCCATTTGTTATGTTGTCTTGAAATTGCGCGTCTCCACTGCGTAATGTAGCATCGTTGGTGGCCAGCCTAATGTCAAGAAGAACCTTAAAGAAGAAGGCTTAAGAGGGTACGCCTAAGGGCTTAGCCCTAGAAGGGAGCTCTCACATCCCCGTCGTCACTTGCGTCCTGGGGAAAACGGACCTCTCGTTTATTTATTTTTATTTTGTGTCTTCAAAAAGAACGGAATCCTAGCTAAACACATATTTTCAATTTGGTCGTGGCCCGAGACCTCTAGTGAACAAAGGTGTGGTAACCGAGTGGACGGGCTTTCTACTACCACATGATGCGAGTCCCAGTCGCGTCACAGTCCATGGGTGCTGAGATGACCACCGAAGCCTCTGGCGCTTCGTGAAAGGTAGTCCAATGACATGCACCGTGTGTCCTTTGACCCAAACGAAAAATAAAGTGAAGAAAGTATAGAACAAATGAAAAAACAAGGTGTCTATTTCCAGGACGGAACAACAGCGGAGATGAACATAATTGTTGGTTTTCCTTTGAGGTTGAAGCTACGGCTGAACAAGATCCATCCACCGTGCAAACGCCTCGCATACCAGCTCGATAGGACCCTCGACCTTTATGTTGAGGCCCTGCGTTCGAGTCCTGGTTGCCCCAGGACCCCTGGGGCCATTGTGGTCTCCGCAGTTCCTGTACGCTTCATGCAATACAATAGTGTGCGACAACGTGCGTCACGTTGTTAACAAAATAACGTGGGCCAGATGAGCAGGGTATGGACATTGACAGGAGGATGAGAGCTGCGATAAACGGAGCCAAGAACAGAACCGCTGGTCGTCTTTTCAAATGTAAACGTTAGGTGGGGCGGGTCCCGCGCCGCAGGGACGTCTCACCGGCCTGACGTTCCCCTCCGACAGAGCCCGGCCGGGAGGCGCTGATGGAGGCCAAGGTGTGCGAGGCCATGCAGTCGTTCCTCCGCTGCTGCCCGACGTCCGAGCGCCATGACCGGCTGTTCTGCCGCGCGGCCAACACCATCCTGCGCTGCGTGTCCAAGTGGAGCCTGCCGGTGGAGCGGCTGGAGAGCCCCATCAAGTTCACCCCGCCGTCGCTGCCCAAGCCGGAAGCCAGCGGTGGTGGGTGCCGAGGGTCGCTGCTGGATGTCTCGCGGTTGTCGCTGTGGGTGGGTGATGCCCTCACGCGTTCATCCGTATGGAGTCTGTTGTTGGGGGATGATGCGTCGTGATTTAGCCGTCTGATTTTTAACTTAGGGTACATTTGTGAACAAGTGAGCGGTAATATGGCGCAGGTGCTTTAGGCGGTGCAGGTGCGGTAATATGGCGCTTTCCAGCGGCGGCCAACACTTGAAGGCGTTTTGTTTGCAGGTTCTTTTGGAGGACATTTATGCTGTGTCGAGGAACGGACAGCCTAGTAGGTTTTTAAAAAGTACGAGCTCAGGTTGTGCACTGTCTTAAAACCAAAAGCGAGCGGAAACTAGCCGAGTTTAGCTGCATGCAAAGTTTCCAGCATAACGAACAATAGCGACAGTGGCGCGGCGTCGCATGTAACGCTGCCAGTTGTGTCTCAGTGCTGGGGCGTGCCCACTGCCGTGTCGACACCGACCGCTGCGTGGCGGCGGCGCCCCTCACGCCCCCCTCCTGCGTCAGACGGCGCCGAGCGCACCGATGACGAGAGCGGTTCGGAGACCGAACCCGAGTCGGAGGCCGAGACCGAGACCGAGACCGAGACCGAGACCGAGACGGAGGCCGAGGCCAGGCAGCAGCTGGTGGAGGCGCACGCGCCCGCGCTGCCGGTGCCGGTGCGCGCGCCGCCGGCGCAGCTGCTGCGGTGCGCGCCGCTGTTCCCGGAGCTGGCGGCGCCGGCGTCGCCGGGCCCGCCGCCGGCGGCGCCGCCGCCCTCGGCCGTCTCCGACCGGCCGCCGCCGCCGCCGCCGCAGGAGAAGGCGGCCGGCTGCCGCTGCCTGCCGCGCTGCCTGTCGCGGTTGTGCCGCCAGGGGACGCCCGTGCGGCCGGTGTCGCCGCCGCCGCCGCCGCCGCTGCTGCCGCCGGGCAAGTCTCCGCCGACGGCCGCGAAGCTGGGCCAGGCGTGGCAGGTGCTGCAGGAGTGGAGCGACCGGCGTGGCGAGGGCGACAGCCGCCGTCAGTACCGCGACATCTACAGGTGCGGGGAGGCAGGACGAACGCCACAGCGGGCCTACTCACCCGGCTCTGCTGTCCGCTCTGTCGACAGCCGGCGTTGGCTGTAAACTCAGTGGGCCAGGGTGGCGCAAGGCTGTGTGAACCCAGCGTGATCATTTTCAGGCACATGAGCCAGGAAGAGACGTATTAGGGCTGCGGTGTCCCGGCGGAACTCCGATCACACGCTTTAAGTTTAGGGATATATTCGTTTATGACGTCCCCTGCATAGCGGGTGTTGTTCGCAATATACCCTAAAGCGGCGTTTGCAAGCCGTTTTAACCACATTCCCTCCTGACATCACATTCCTTGGTCTAACCGTCCTCACTCAGTGTAAACTGATCGCATGGCGAGTGGTGTGTGCAGCACCGGCGCCGGCGCCGCCAGCGGCCGGCTGGTCCGTCTGACGGCGGCGTCTGACCGCAGGCGTCTGGCGCAGAACACCCGCCACGTGGCGCCGTTCGTGAAGCTCGCCTATCCGGACCTGGTGGGCGCCGTCGGTGTCGAGGACAGGGAGTCGCTGGCCGTCTGCGACCGGCTGGTCTGCAGGTGAGGCGTAACATGAGCTGACGTGATCTGCCCTGCCTTGCCTTGCCCTGTCCTGCCCTGCCCGACCGTGCACTGTCGTGCCCTGCCCTGCCCTGCCCTGCCCTGCCCTGCCCTCCCCTCCCCTCCCTGCCTTGCCTTGCCTTGCCTTGCCTTGCCTTGCCTTGCCTTGCCTTGCCTTGCCTTGCCTTGCCTTGCCTTGCCTTGCCTTGCCTTGCCTTGCCTTGCCTTGCCTTGCCTTGCCTTCGTCTTGTCGTGTCCTTTTCTGTCCTGCGTTGCCCTGCCGCGTATTGCCCTGCCACGCTCTGCTCTGCCCTGCCCTGTCCTGCCTTGACGTGATCTGACCTGACCGCGGTCAGAGCGAGCCGATGGCCTTCGGTGACGGCTGGGTCACGCCCGCACGAGATACCCACTCATCTGGGGTGATGCGCTTCAACGACGCTTGGGCCGTGCTGGCGGGCTGCGAGCTGTTGATAATGCGGCTGTCGTGGGCCCTGAGAGCATCGCCGAACGACAGGCAGCCCGTCGCTGCTCCGGCGCACAGCGCGGGCCGATATCTCCGGGGACTCTCGTGACGCGTGCTTGCCGCTGTTTGCTTTGTGCCAGAGTGTGTTCTTGCTGCTGTACGTGTTGTTGGTGCTGAGCTGGCAAAATAGTGGCGTGTATGGTGGGTTTGGCGGCTGCTTTGTTCTCGCCCGAGTCTTAGGCGTTATTAGTTGCGTACGATAGATAGACGTCATGTTCTCGCCTGTATCCCTCAGGTGGATTTATAATTAATAATACGCGGGATAACAGGGCAAGTGATTATTTCCGTGTATTGTGTTATGTATTGGTAGAGCCAATAGCATAACCATGTGTATATATTATTGCATATATTGGATATGTTACAACTGTGTCATGGGCCGTTATTCATTCGTATGTCTAAAAACACGCAGTGCGGAATCATAAGCCTTTTGTCGCAGTCAACAGAGAACATTAGACGCGATCAGGCGGGACCGGAGTCTTCGAGTGCAGCCGAGCCTGTGTTCGCAGGAAGAAGGTGCAGGGACTGGTTGATGACGCGATGGGACAGCGGAAGGCGGACAGCAAGGTGGTCTACGACTACGACTTCCTGGTCCAGACATTTCCCAAGGCTGTCGGTGACGTCAGGTGGGTGCGAGGGCCGGGGGCTCTTTGAAGGCCGTTATGTCAAGGTTGGTCGTTATCAGCATGAACCATCATGAGGCCGAAAGACCAAGAACTTGGATTTAATTTGCCGACATCGAGAGCTTTTGTGCCCCACGATAACTATGTAACGTATCTTTTTAGGTGGGGACAGAAATATTCGTAGCAACGAGTGTAGGAAGAAGTGAATATTTTCATAAGGAATTAATGGCGGCATACCGATATAAAGAGGGTAGCATATGGCGCATGGTGAGTTTTACATACAGTTGTCTGTATGTCGGCTTTTGTGTTTACACACGGTTACTGGATAATTTGGACGAGAAGAGGGTGGCTAACGACTTTGATCGAGACAAACGAGAACTCCAGTCTCCGATTTGAGTCCCGTTTCGAGTCTGGAAAACCTTCGGAGAGGCATTCGGGTACAAATACCTTTTAAACTCCCCTCTGATGTATGCGTATGGTGTGGTGTGGTGGTGGGGGGGTGTGGGGGGGGGGTATTCATGTCTTTTGTTTAGATATGTTTCTTACTCTTTTTGTGGCCAATCCTCACGTCGCCGGCTCACGTCAATTGAGGCGTCAAAGAAACAGCGTTCTTGACTCGTGCTTCGCTGCCCAATAGCTGTGTATATTGTCTCATGGTCAACGTTGACGACGAGGCCAGTGGTGGACGGCGTCCTTCCGTCAGTTAGCGGTCATGTGACGTCACGCGGAGCGCCCCTGGTGTCGGTGGTCGGCCGTGTGTCGGGTGAGGTCGGTGTCCTGACGGTGCGTCCCTGGTGTCGGTGGCCGGCCGTGTGTCGGGTGAGGTCGGTGTCCTGACGGTGCGCCCCTGGTGTCGGTGGTCGGCCGTGTGTCGGGTGAGGTGGGTGTCCTGACGGTGCGCCCCTGGTGTCGGTGGCCGGCCGTGTGTCGGGTGAGGTCGGTGTCCTGACGGTGCGCCCCTGGTGTCGGTGGTCGGCCGTGTGTCGGGTGAGGTCGGTGTCCTGACGGTGCGCCCCGGTGTTGGTGGCCGGCCGTGTGTCGGGTGTGGTGGGTGCCCTGCAGCGCTGACCGGTGTCGGCGCCGGTAGACGGCCGCCCGCGAGTATGACCTGGTGATCTGCCCGGACGTGGGCTCCAGCCGGCATCAGCAGTGGTTCTACTTCGAGGTGTCCAACATGCTCGCTGGCGAGCCGTACACGTTCAACCTGATCAACAATGAGAAGCTGAGCTGTGAGTACCAGGCAGTAGGTGGACGTGCCGGCGGAGCGGCCCCTCGCGGCGAGG